GTCTGCCCCCGCCGCATCTCCAGGGGCTGGCTCTCGCAAGTGCTCGGGGCCAGCAGCCCGGCAGGCTGGTCCCACTGCTGCGGCGCGGGGCCGCCGGCCTGGGGCCATGCCTGGGCCGGCACCGCGCCGGCAGCGCCTCCGAAGCCGGTGGGCGGCTGATCCCACTGCTGCGGCGCGGCGCTGCCGGGGACGTAGAGGACCTGCTCGGCCTGCGGCCAGGGCTGCGCCGGCGGCGCCGCGGCCGGGACACCGCCGTAGCCCGCGTGGGCCTCCAACCCGGCGGCGAACAGCTTCTTCTCCCTGATCTCCTCGTCGCTCTGCTCCTGCGAGGTCTTGGTGTACTGCCAGATCGCGAGCATGAACAGCTGCAAGAAGATGATGCTGGTGCACGCGAAGAAGCCAAAGGAAGCCCCGATGCCCTCGCTCGCCGCGAAGACAAACTTGGTGACCATGCCGCTGGCGCCTCTGGCCTTCATCTCGTCCAGGTGCCTGAACACGAAGAGGCCGTACGTGCTCACGGCAGCGCCCAGCTGTAGGGTAGAGACCACGAGCGCGATCAGCGCCAGGCTGCGGTAGGACCGCTTGTGGCTCTGCCCGTAGATATAGCTGTGGAGGGCGAAGAGGACGCACACCAGGCCGACTGCGTTGAGCACCAGGGAGGCGGCGAGCCCGATGCCGAGACGGAACGCGTTCTGGAAGCCGTGGCAGCCCTGCGGGTAGGCCGTGGCGACCACAGGGGCGCAGAACCTCTGCTGGACCTCCTCCAGGCTGAAGCTGCCGTCGGAGCACGTGCCGGGGCGCAAATTCGCCGGCCCAACGGGCCAGAGGCGTGCTAAGATCTCCGGTAACTGCTAAATAATACTTCTACTTCGCGCGCGCGGGGCGGCCCCTGGGTTTACCCGGACGAAAAGTACCCCGGGCGATCCCCGGCAGACTCGGGTCAGAGATGGTTTTCCTCCTGGGCGCCGCCCCCGTGGCCCTCCAGAGAGCCCCAAGAAGGGCCACGAGGCCGCCAAGAGCCCTCCAAGATGGTTCAAGAGTGCTCCGAGATGCCACACGATCGTTCCAAGACGCCCAAGATGGCCCCCAGACGCCCCAGGAGGCCTCCAAGAGCACTCCCCAGAGGGCCCAAAGAGGCAAAATTCATTACTTTTCATTAGGTTGTGGGCAGATTTTGGCGTGTCCATCTTTTCGGCTTCCCGACGCCCCAAGACGGCCCAAGAGGCCCCCAAGATCGCCCCAAGAGGGCCCAAGAAGCTCCCAAGAAGGCCCCAAGCTGGCCCAAGAGGGCTCCAAGACGGCCCCAGAGACATCCAAGACGGCCCAAGAGGGGCCCAAGAGGGCCCCAAGCGATGCCCCAAAGGGGGAACACAAAACGAAACTTCGAGCCCTCGGCCTTAAGAAGCCCCGAGGCCTCAAGAGGCCCCTGAGAGGCCCCCAAAGCCCCCAAGAGGCCCTCAGGAGGCCCCCAAGCGACGCTGAAGAGGCCCCCCAGCGGCCCCAAGAGGCTCAGTCATGCGAAATGGGCCGGCGGAATGAGCGAAGCGATTCAATAATTGATCGCCTTGCAGAAGCCGCTGCCGTCCTCCTGGAACTCCACCGTCAAGAGATGCGTCTCAATGCGCGCGGCGCGAATGAAACCGCCAGTGAAGAAGGAGAGCCTGTGCATCGGCAGGCAGAAGACTGCTGCCGAGGCTGCCATCACCACGCAGGAGAGGGCACCCATGATCTGGAAAGTCTTCTCCCCCATGCTGCCACCTCGACCAAAGACGAACGGTACCACACGTACCGCGCAAAAAAGATTGCCAGTTTCGGCCGGCAAGAGGGCCTGTATGCAGAGAATCTGCTAGAACGTTGGAACTCACTGGTTCGTTTCTCGAGCCGGGGTGGCAACGAAGGAGGGCTGAGTAACTGACGGAGGAAGATCGCCCCGCCGAGGAGCGATGACGGTGGAAGCACGAGATCAAGAACAGTGTCTGCCGATAGTGACGGAACGCTGCGCCCACTGCACAATCTGCTGGTACCCTCTTTGTACTATCACTGCTATGCTGCAGCATTGCGTTGTGTTCGGGT